AGCAAATCAATCTTGCCTTCGAAAGATTCAAAAGGTGTAACGCCTTGGCCTACTGAAAAGTACGTATTTAAATGATGGTGCTGCATGAATGCAATTGCACCAAAGGTATAATTCTTAAGCATTATAAACGCCCATAATAGGCCAAGAAGGCCGTAAGTAGGGTCGGAAACAGTGACAAACAAAATGAAAAACCACAAACACCTATTGTGCACACAATAAGCGTGGCCTTCACCGAAAAAAACGGAGAAGCAGTCCACACTTTTTCCCAAAAATCATCATTCTTTTTGGAGCCTTAATACGAGGAACTATTACAACCGTATTCAGAAAATCTAATTTCTATAAACAACTGGTTGAAGACGTAAAGCTAGTCATTTTTTCATGTTATTTTTGATATGTTTTGTAAGCACTTCACGAGTTCCTTTGCTGTCGACTTGTGGTCGTATTCTCTTTCCCCTTCTATCTTCCAGTTTGTATGTCTGAATTGATCAAGGGTCCTCCGTAAATTCTTCCATCTCTGCAGTGGATTGTATGTGTTCTTGCTTTTCACTCTGAGACATATTTGACCCCAATGTAGTTTTCCCAGAAACTACTTCTATTTCCTCCGGATTGCATACATAGAAAAGAGTCAGCGCACATTGGCACAGTCACCTTTGTTCTTAATTTGCTCTCTCGCGTATAATGAATTTTCCAAGGTAACATATTTTGACCTCAGCAGAAATCTGCCTAAAAGCAGTTTAAAAAATATGATAAAATCGCCAGTAGTCTTGGCTCAGCTAGATAACACTGGGTAAACTCGAGTTAAATTCCGCAAAACAGGCCTCTAGCATCGCAAAGACCCTCGACCAATTAAAAAAGGGACATACGTGATGTATTTCGAAAGGGGCCATTTACAGTTTTGCGGTGCGTCTTTTGATGTACGTAGGTCATGCGAAGCAGCTCTGAGTCGTCAATAGGCAATGCATCTTCGTGGACGCAGTCTTCGTGGCTCGCTGATTCATACATTATTTTCAGTATATACAGGTATGTTTCTTTCTGAAAAGGATCTGACAAACTGAGAGGTTGTCTGCTGTGCTTAACAAACGTAAGTTCGCTGGTTATATAACTAATAACTGTAGCATAGGGAGATGAAGAGCTTAACTTGGCTCTATAACTGGAAAACTAGTGTGAATTTTGCTTAATCGGAACTGCATTTAATCCTCTTACTGATAATGCAACCATGCAAGCATGATCGCCTACGTCGATACTGAAATGATAGGGTTTTACATTTTAGTTTTTAATGTTAATACTTGACATTTTCCATTACCTAAAAGACGGGTGCCGTCTATAGATTGATGCTTGCTCTACTTTTCTTTATCATCTATATTTCAGACGTGAGTTGGCCACTGAGAAGCTATATATCTTGATGTAGAACGATAATTATAATTGCAAATGCCTTTAGGAGACGGTTTATAATTAGGAACGCGGTTTACACGTCTTAAATGCCCAAGTTTTCAACAATGATCTCGGTAAATACACATTACAAATGAAGTCGTACTATTGTTCTAGGCCGAAGGTTCAATGCGCAGTCCTATTTTAGTGAGTCCAGCTTTGCAATTTTTAACTGGGTGCTGAGCGTTGTTGTCACTGGGTGCCAAAAGTTTAACTAAACGTCCATAACGAGATTAGTTTGCCGTGCTAATAATAGGGTTGTAGTGATTACACGCATTAGAACTGTCATTACCACGAATGCTCTTGCAACTGCAGAGCAGAATTGTAGCCGATCGTAATACCATAACGAAAACAGTACTGGCATTACTATTCTACTGCAAATCATCAGTCTTAAAATATTTATTGCCCACATTTGCAGTACAGTAGTCGCCAAAAACCATGCAACTTTCATGATTAAATTTGACCTGGTAGTTAAGCGTATATTTATTAACACTATTTTGATTAATTCAGTTTATTGAATTCTGCGAAAGCCTTTTAGTTAGATAAATGTCATTTCAGTTAGGTTTATTAAAAGAAATGGCCAATAATTTTGTGGAAATTGGAAGTAGTCTCATATCGAAGGAATTTCTTATGCTATTACGAAAGAGAGA